CCCGAGAGAGGGTGGCCTCCTGCGCTTGAACATTGCGCAGCGCGGCTGCTGGTGCTCGTGGGCGGCCGTGCGGTGGCGTGAGGGCCTGATTGGTGGTGACCTCGTGCTGCATCAGCGTGCGCAGCATGCTCCCTCACCCGGTGCTGAGACATGCTGGTGGGCGACTGGCGCCAGCTTCTCAGTGCTGTCCTGGGCGGTGTGCAGCATGTCGCAGTACTCCTGTTGCGCTGACCGGCGCGCGGGGTGCGTCGTGCCGCGAGTGGAGCGAGAGGCTCGAGTCGCGCGGCTGTCGGTCAACCCTGCGGCGCATGCGCGCAGCCAAGGCTGCTCGACAGGCGACTGGCATTGTGGCGACGCGGTCGCCGTTACTCCAACTTTGCTTTGCCGATCAAAAGCGCCCGTCCTTTGCTTTTTAGCCGCCGAAATTTAGCGTGCTGTTTTTTCTTTATAGGCGCCTGCAACTTCCAAGCTGCGTATTCTTGTATTATCGTCGAGTAGTACAGGTACTCCGTGGGGCAGTGTGTATTCTCGTAACATGTGCGTATTCTCGTATCACTGGCTCCGAGTAGAAAAAGAAAGAAAACATCACATTAGCTCCGAGTAGAGGGGGCGTCCTGCAGTTAAGGGGAAACCCGGTACGCGGGGCCAACCCTCGGAGACCCGTGTTTACTTTACGGCCCTTTCCCTGCGAATGCGCACCCCCCCTAGCTAGGGGTCAGGGCTCTCTAGCCCGTAGCCCGATGCCGATCATCCGGCTCGCTGGGTGCGCTTCTTAGCTCCCCGGCCCTGGATGTGAGGTTGCCGACTGCACTCCAAGTGCTCCAAGTGCCAACAACCTCCCGGTCCTGCCCAACGTCTACGCGAGCGGCGATGTCGGCGGACCTCCTCGCCTCGATGTCGGGTGTCAAGGTCCTCGGGAACAAGCTCTGCCCATCGTGCCGCGCCTTTGCGACGACCAGCGACGACATCATCCACGACGCGCAGTGCGCCGCGCAGGCACTCATCCACTCAAGGCCAGGCGCGCCGTAGCGGCGAACGTCGCCAAGAAGAAGACCTTCCAGAGCGTCATCGTCGACAACAAGGTCGAGGTCGCGCGCGCGGCGGGCAAGGTCAAGGCGATGGCGGCGCGCGACGGGATTGGCTTTTGCCCAAACTTCAACCAGACCGCCCTCCCGTGCAAGACCAGCGCTCGCTGCCGCTACGCGCCGTGCGTCAACTTTGAGGCGCTACACACCGCCTTCAAGGACACAGTCTACGAGCGCATGCCGAGCGCGGTCAGGCTGGGCACGAGCCGCGGGCGGCGCGCAGACCGGCGCGGCGGACGCGGCCGCGGCGGCACCAAGAAGGACTGGGCGAGTATCGCTCGCGGAGCCGCCCGCTCCCCCTACGACGGCGGCCCACGCCTCGAGTCGAACGAGGCCTCGCTCTACGAGGGGAGCGACGAGGAGTTCTAGGAGCGGCCGCCGAGTTGGTGCCTGGGTGACCTGCTGATGAGAGCGCCTTCC